CAAATATTTCAAAGACCTACAGAATATGACATTTAAGCTGTTTAATAAACTAAGTTTTTTCATGAAAATGAGATATATCTGCTCCTGGAAGCACCAATTTACTTCAAAAAAGGATGATGGGCATCGAAGAAATTTTATAAGACTTTGCTTTCATTCTGGTATAATTAGACATTTGGGCAAGAAACTGCTTTTGCATTGACTGCTTGACAGCATGCTGTATAAATTGGACATGCAGAATCCACAGAAAAGTGATGGCTGAATTTTGCCAAAACGAGGTGGGATGGTCCTTCAAGATCCCTGCTTCACAGAAGAGTCTGCCAGACATTCTATAGGACACACAGGAAAGTGACTGCTGAACTTTGACAATAGAAGGCAAAACTGTCCTTCAAATTTCCTGCTTTGCTGAAAAGTCTGCCAGATATTCTAGGCCTGTAGACCCAAAGATGGATGCCCCAACATTGCAGAGAAACTTTGGGTGACTGTCTAAGCAGCCAAATGTCTCTGCTGTTAGATTAGTATTATATCCTACAGTGGTCTTTGAGGGAGATTAAAACTAAATAGTTAAAGTCATGGTTTTCCTTAGTTATGATAGAAAGTAAATTAGATATAAAACTTTGTAATCACTAATAAAAGATAGATAATGGAGTATTTTCTATGAATTTGCTGAATATAAATGGGCTGAATATTATAATGGTAATTATTACTTGATAACTTTTTTGCTATATATAGTTTTACTATATTAAAGATAAAACCTTTCATTTTTATTTAGACAAAAAGGGGGAAATGTAGTTGATTGTCTTTATTCTTTATTCTTGGGGTATTGTGGTAGTGGGGGGCTGTCATTCAACTTCAAAATAAATCATACAGAGGGTTATTCTTTTCTATGAATGACCAGCCTTAGCTTGGCTTGTTTCTAGCCCTCTTTTCTTAAACTATCCCATTTCTCTTTTGCCTCTGGGCTTTCATATTTCTCTATTCTCTATACCTTTCTTTACCTCTTACTCCATGGCTTGCTGTGTAGCTGTGTAGCTGGCTCCTAGAATCTTCCTCTCTTTCTCCTCCTTGATCCTAGATCTTTTCCTCACAGATTCCTCTGCCTGTTTATTCTCTCTGTCTGCTAGCCCTACCTACCCTTTCTCTTGCCATGCTATTGGCCGTTCAGCCCTTTATTAGGCCAATCAAGTGTTTTAGAAAGGCAAAGTAACACAGCTGCAGAAAGTTAAAAAAAATGCAACATAAAAGAATGCAACACATCTTTGTACCAGTCAACAAATATTCCACAGCATATACAAATGTAATACATCTTCAACTAATAGTCTACCACAACGTTCTGTATTTGTCTTTCTGTGTTTAGGTTACCTCACTCAAGGTGACTTTTTTTCAAGTTCCATCCATTTGCCTGCAGATTTCATGATGTCAGTTTTTTTTTCACAGCTGAGTAATACAACATGTGCAAATGTGCCACATTTTCTTTATCAATTATTCTGTTGAAGAACTTCTAGCATGTTTCCAATTTTAGGATATTATGAATGAAGAAAATGAAATTTTCTAGCATGTTTCCAATTTTAGGATATTATGAAGAAAGCTGCAATGAACACAGATGAGCAAGTGTCCTCTTGTGACAGGACGGAGAGTCCGTTGAGTAGTAATGCTGGATCTTGAGGTAGATCAATTCCCAACTTTCCGAGTAACTGCAATATTAATTTCCATAGAGGCTGTAGAAGTTTGCACTCCCACGAGCAATGGAGGAGTGTTTCCCTTGACATCATGAACTGCTACTTGTGTAATTGATCGTAGCTGTTCTGACAGGTGTAAGACGGAATCTTGAAGTAGTTTGATTTGCATCTCTCTGATGGCTAAGGATGTTGAAAAAAATTTAAGTATTTCACAGCCATTTGAGATTCTACATTGAGAACTATTTATTTAGGTCTGTACTCCATTTTTTAATTGGATTATTTGGGTTTTTCTTTTTTGATATCTTGTTTCGTTAGTTCTTCATATATTTTGGATATTAGTCCTCTATTGGATTTGGAGTTGCTATAAGCCTTTTCCCATTCTTTAGGCTGCTACTTTGTCCAATTGGTGGTGTCCTTTTCCTTACAAAACCTTTTTGCTTTCATGAGGTCCCATTTATTAATTGTTGGTCTTAGTGCCTGCACTGTCAGTGTTTTGTTCAGAAAGTTGTCCTTTATGCCAATGTGTTCAAACTTATTACCCACTTTCTCTCCTATCAAGTTTAGGGTATCTAGTTTAACGTTGAGGTCTTTGATCCTTCAATACTAAATTTAGCTTAGATTTTAATTTAAAATAAAGTTCACCTTAACAGCAATTATTTAACTGAGGAATTATGTTAATTAGTGAAATTGGCTTAGTCAGGATTTTAAACCATTACAACCAACTCTTAGTATAAATCAGGCAAGTGGAAGGAACAGAGAGACAAGCTGGCTGGGGCCTTCAGTTGGTCTGTTTTACAGAGAAAAGAGAAGGGCATTGGCCAGCTTGGCAACCGGCAATTGGAGAACTGTCAAGAAGATCATCAGTAAGATTTCTGAACTCCTCAAAGATGTTGAAAACTCTGGTCCTTGTCTATTCAAATCTAAGACATAAGGTCTTGATTTCCCTTCCATTTTCACAAAAATACACCACTGGGATATCTTAGTTCCAAAGACATAGAAGCTTTCACTACTTAAAAAAAAAAATCCTGTTGTTGGTTGTGGGCCCCCAGGCCAGACAAGGAAAGGTAGAGTGCTGTTGTCCATAGCTCTCAGAGCATGGCAGCAGTATGACCGCTCCCTCCTCAAATTACGTCTGGGCTCACTCAGCTCTGTAGAAACAAAGGTGATGTCATGTTAGAGTCAGTTAAGCTTCTGTCTCTGTGCCAGAAAATTAGCTCCTCAGAAATCATGTGACCAGCAGTCTTCCAACTGATATGCCTGGAAAATGTCTGCCTCTTCTACAGCCCTCCCTCCCTGCATTCCCTCTTTCTTTTTTTTTTTTTAACTTTTGCTTTGGTATTTTGGCATTATTAATGTTTGTCTGCCTTCAATCAGGTCAAAACATGAAAATTAGGTGGATACCCTTGTTCTTTGACCCCCGACTCCTTGACCCAAGCTATATAAGCCAGTTAATTACTTCAATAATCGAGTTGTCCTCTGACACAGTGTCCAGGGTCATTTCTGCCCCTTGTGTGCACCTCTGCCCAGACTGGCAGTGAGAAAAGGCCAATCAGGGATGGGACACCCACAGTTGGTAATGCTAAAAGTTTATCCAACTCCATAGGTGCCATATATATATATATATATATATATATATATATATATTAAATTGATGATGACTTTAACGTATGTCTTATTACTACCATGTGGGATTTTTCCCTCATGTACTTTAATCATTTTAACTCCCTTATATAATTAATGTTTATAAACTACATAGTTTTATTATTTAGTGACTTAATACCACTTTTTAGGAAAAATATGTAATGAGCCTCAAGAAGATAATACAAAGAGATGCTTTAAGGCAGTTGAGTCTGGGCTGATAGTCCAGTGCGTTTCCATTATATGTCCCTGCCTTTCTATACCCTACCCACTTCTGCTTTGACTTCAAGAACCGCTTCAGCAAATCTGTCTGCTATGATTGCTCTTTCTTGTTAAGTGACAGGATTTAGAGCCTCCTACCACACAAACCATCAGTTGTGGCTGTGAAGCTCTGTCTAGGAGGCTTAACCAAGGAGGTAAGACCCACTCTGATTATGAGTGGCACCACCCCATGGGCTTGGGTCCAGACTGAATACAAAGGAGAAAGAGGGTAGAACACCAGCATTTCTCCTCCTCCCATTCCCAAACCTCTACCTTCCTTCTCCTGCGTTCCCTTTCTCCCCCTCGCCTTGACTATGGATTCTATATGACTAGATAACCTCTATTCCAGTAATCATTCCTCATCTACCATGGTGGGCTATTATACCCTGACACCATGATCCAGCAAAATTTCTTCTTCTTTAAGTTGTCTTTGTCAGCTGTTTTGACTCATAAACCAAAAAAAAAAAAAAAAAAAAAAAAGTAACAAGCATACTGCTCCTAATCTGGAAGCCAGACAGCTTTAGTCCAACTGGAGGCACCACCACACTGTGTGAAAAGGCACAATGACAAGGGAATGTTGATCCCTGTTCCAACTCTGCCTCAGACAGAAAAGTTGTAGTAGTGGTCATACCCCTTGTGAGCCAGCCTAATTCAAGGAGTTAGACCCATGGAGTCCCAGAAAAACCTATCATATTTTAATTTTCTCCATCCTATCATAATTAATTTACCAATACATTTTGTAGGAACCTCTGCAACTCTTATTGGTTCTGTGAAACCCCTTCAAACTTCTTTAAATAGACTTTAAATGATTTTTTTTTTAAGAACTCAGGTGAATGTATTTTCTCTTTCCCTTCAGGACCCATGTTGAGCAGTTATCAATCTCTAAAGCTTTGCAATAAGATTCTGTAATTTAAAAATATATTTTGTTACTTTTGTTTCCTCCCCACATTATTTATATTCCATTTCAGTCTATTAGAGAGGTAAAAGGAAAGGCACACTGTGTATTTAATAGAAATTAAATAATTTCAAATAATTTTTTTAACTAACATGGTCCTATTGTTTGGACCTGAAACTCTACCACTTGACCTTAGTGTTTAATGATATCTCTTAGGGAACACAAAAAGGATCTAAGATGACAAAAAGATATTATAAATTAAGAAGGCCAGCCAAGTGGCTTATAAGAGAGACAGAAGAAGGATGAATTCAGAAGTGTGTGTCTGTAAGTGCTGAGGCTCTACACAGTCAAAGTGACATTGAAATTTAAGACCCAAACAAGAAATCATGAATTTATATATTGTTGGGAAAAGTCAAACCACAGAAATTAACTTAAGTGATCTTGATTATACAACATTGGCTCCTGGGATTTCCTTATTGTTTTTAGTGATATGGATTCTAATATGCAGCTTTTCCTCTTTCTTAGTTTTTTTTTCATTTATTGACTGCAATATTATAATACAAAGTCAACATCTGCCTTTAGAGAGCAGGCTCCCATTCTCTCTATCTCTAAAGATTAATTTAATATATTTTCCTCAGATAGAGGACACATAGATATTAAACTGATAGAACCAAGTATTACATTTGATGCTGGCCCAGAGGCTGAGAATGATGAACTACAGCTTAGATCTGTCCATTAAAGGGCCAGTTTTAATCTTTGATTGATGTTCAAGTCTATTATTATCGCACTGCTTGAAATAGGAAACATTTAGAGAAAAGCTTAATAACACTCATAAGATAAATGTAATATCCCAGTTAAAAGTAAAAGGACTAGAGAAATGGTTAGGAGTGTACTTATGTCTTATGGAGACCCTGAACTCAATTCCCAGCATTCACTCAGGTGACTTACAACCTCACATAACGGAGAACCCATTGTTTCCATCTGGATTCTGCAGACACTTGCCCTCATATGTACATGTTCCATTACATAGACAAGATGATACAAGCTAGAGTCATCTAGAAAGAGGGAACATCGATCAAAAATATGCCTCCACCAGATTGCCTATAAGACATCCTATGGGGCGTTCTCTTGATTAACAATTGATATGGGGAGGCCCAGCAAAATAAGGGATGCCACCTCTGGGCAGGTGGCCCTGTCTTGTATAAAAATGCAAGCTGAGCAACTTATGGGAAGCTAACCCATCAGGAGTGCTTCTCCATGACTTCTGCTTAAGTTCCGACCTCTAGGACTCTACTCTGGTGTCCCTTTATGATGAACTGTGATCAGAACATGTAAGCCAAATAACTCCTCTCAAGTTGCTTTTGGTCATAGTATTTTGGCGTAATAATAGGCAGAAAACTAGAATAGCACATAATTTATAATAAAATGCGTTTTCGAAATAAGTAAAATATAGATGCTCATATAAACTGAAAGTGTTATACCATTTGTACGCATTGGGTTACTTTTAAAGAAGCTTCAAACAATATAAAATCAGTGATTTAATACGTAAATGTATTTGTGTGGGATAATTGTGTATACCTAAATGAAAAAGAAAGAGAAGAAAACCCTAGCAGAGTACTGCTCATGGGTTTAAAAACCAAATGGAAATACAAAGATTCATTTATGGTTCTTCTTTTTTCTCTTAAGTAATTTTTTCATATGATTACAAAATATTAAAATAAAAAAGATTTAGTTAAACATTTTTCAAATTTGGGCTCTCAAGAAGGCTCAGCAGGAAGAAAATTCTAGCCATGCAAGCCTGACCACCTGCAGAACCCACTGTGGAAGGAGGGAGAGCACCAACTCCTTCAAGTTATCTTGTGATTGCCATCCCCATACTGTGGCATGCACACACATACACACACACACACACACACACACACCGACACACACACAAATTATAATAACGTAAATTTCAAAGTTAAGTTTCAGAAATTTTAGCTTTCACTGCACAGATTCTGAAACCTTTATTATGTCATAAACTAGAGGAAACAACTAGTCAACTGTCAATACATTTCAGGAAAGTGTGTGTCTTAACTCAGCTAAGGATCACAATGCAGGTGAGATAGCGCTACTATTGTTCCCATTTAGACACTGCAAAACTAAGACATACAAGCAGTTTAAAACTTGTCCAGAGTTATACAGCTAAGAAGTTGTAGAGCTTGATATTCAAACTGTTTACCTCAAGGCCCCATACAGTACAAATGAACAGCCTTGTCTCTATGCTGCCCATGAAATGCCAATTGTCCAAGAATGGTTCTACATAGCAGAAGTTAATGCCATTAAGCTGTTATTCATAAATTTTGTAAACTTAATTTTTAAAATACTTGAAGAATATTTTATTCTGGCACAAATGGCTCTGTTATTGGGAAGCAAAGAAACCACAAAGAATTTTCCATATCTTTTTATGTAAAGTCCTAACAGGACTTAGGAATTTATAGATTTACCTCTATACTAGCTAAAACAGCCAGTATCTGTTTCTTAAATATTCAGCCAAAGAAGCACTTGAGCTTCTAAGCTTTCTTGTGGTAGGTGCCAAAGCCATGAGTTAAGGAAAGGTTGAGGTCATTTGATCTTCTGTGGAAGAAAGAACAATTGATTGCATGAATTTAGACAACAACGAAGGACATTAAAACATCTTGAAGACACACATTATAATGCCAAATGTTTCCCAATAATAAACACAGTTGCCCCTCAATGAAGAATCACACTGTTAGAACTGTGCCTTTGGTACCGCAGAAGCAATGTGTCTGAACATGCTGGCTTTAGAATTTTCCCACAACATTTCCTCATCTTTGCATCACTTCACCCAGCATTAATCAAGGCAGAGCTGGGTTTTGACAAGAAAAGATCTTCCTTTTGCCACTAGTCCTTTCCAGATGATCATATAATTATGGAAAAGGAGATCACTGTGCTCTGAGGCTAACTGAAACAGTATGTAAATTGTGAATAATCACTAAGGGTGAAAAGAACATACTTTCATTCTGTTTTCAGGTATAAGCGTTCATGATTCTTATCCTAATTCATTCAGTCAAATATACGAGTTTTTCTGCAGGGCATTTTCACAACATCAAAGCAAATTACTCTTTGTTCTTACTTTTTCTTTTGTTTTTGTTTTGCTAATGAGTATAACTCAATACATTACATATTACTTTATCTGGGAAATTCCTAAAGTTGTTAAAACAGATTTCCAACAAGCCTTAAACATAGCATTAAAGGCACATACAAAACTATGACTCATCCCCACATTATCATTTAATATATTTCAAATAAGGGAAGAAAGAGAATACTTAGGCATTTAATTATGTTGAATGAACAGAATTCGGTAAAGAAATATTGAGGGTCCAAGATATAACTGAGAAAACAAACCTGTTTCAAGGGCTGGGAAGTTGACTAATTTGATAAAGTACTTTCCATGCAAGCCTGAGAACTTGAGTTGGATATCCAGATTTCAGCACAGATTATGTCTGATTCAATGCACTAATTTAAGAAACACTCCAAAACACACTACAGTTCCAAACTGACTGCTGGAGTCTGTTCATGACCCTTTCATGATGGGAGCTACTGTCCAGGAAAATCAGAAGGATGAGAAAGAGGAGGAGGAGGAAAAGAGGAGGAAGAAGGGACCTGCTTTTATAAACTGTACCCTAACCAATGATGACTGCTGAGCCTGTGATGGTAATGTCTGTCTTATCCAGAGATTCATTGAAATCTGTTTTTAAGGCATTTCAAACCCCCAAGTGTCTAGACATCATGGGAGCTGATTCCAACTGCATGAACAACCCAAGGTATGAGATCCTTCTCCTCTTCTTGAATCACAAGCTTATGACTAGCAGACTCTGTGATTCTTCATAATAGCTATGTCTATGTCCTTAGGTTATGGTGCTGCTGACATTTTGTAAGCACTTAGTATGATGTCATGCATAAAAGTTTATGGCAAAGAAATGTTCCTGTTGTCATCACCATCGTAATTAGCACGGTATATACAGTAACGCTCTTGATAACAATATTAGTATTCAATTTTATATTAACCAAGTAGACCTCTTCAGTTCCTTAAATCCAATAGTCTCCTTGAATTTTTACTTTGATAAAAAAAGCATAATACACTGACTTTTCTAACTAAAATACCGGTAAAGTATGTTCACAGACAGGTTCTTTGTGATGCACACTCTTCTGTGGTTCCTACCAACATCATTCTTATCAGAATACCCTTCACTGTGTTTTGTTTACTTGCATGTGTGTCTTTGAGCTGCTCTTTCTCTCTCCTTGGAATCTTTTCCCTAGCTTTATTTTGCTGATATGTTCCTACTCTATAAAAAAAAATCTGGTTACATATTACAACCATTAGAAAGGTTGTATAAGCCCGAGGAAATGACTCAGTGGGTGAAACGCTTGCTAGGTAACCATGAAGATCTGAGTTCAGATCCCTAGTACCACGTAAAAGCAAGGCATGGCATGGGGAGATGAATCAGCAAAAACATTTACTACAGAAGTCTGGAAATCTGAGCTTGATCCCTGGAATACAGATAAAAGTGTCAGGAAAGCACTTATCCCACAGTGTTGTCCTCTGAACTCTACACACATGCTATGGCACACATACACATCCTAATAATGAACACATACTAAATCAATCTGTAGATAAAAATTTTAAAGAATTAGCATTATAAGAGTCATCCCATCAAATAAGCCAGAATTACTTATTCAGTTCTATGTTCCTTCCTGCCTCCAGTGCAATAACTGCCACATTTTGTTGCAATAATTATGGTTTGTGTCCATATGTATAATAAGTCATTAGGGCCTTTGTCTTGCATAACCAGGTAAGCCTATAACACATAAACTACCAACATTATATACAGACTACAGATTGGGAGAATAGTTACGATATCTCTTAATTTCTCAACCTTCTTACTCATTTCAAGATGTGTTTGCACTCTCCTACCTACCCCCAGAGCTTTTACAACGTACAAGTTTAAATCACAAATATTACATTAACATGTGCATTTTATAAAATAAGACTCTTATGAGAGCATTGCATTGTACTTTACACATGCTGAGGTAATGTGCTTACACACACATCATATATTACCATCAATTTACAGACAAAAATATATAAAATGTCTCAAAAGAAATGTCTCATAATCCATCTCTAACTTCTTGGCATTTGACAAAATTAAGTTACAGAGTTTAACCAAAGGGGAAAAAATATTTCTAAATTGAATCTATTTGTGATATACTGGTTTAAAATTCAAAACTGCCAACATATTCTGTTTACTCTCTTGGCATCTGCTGCATCTGCCAACTGGTGGCCAAAAATTAGAGCAGACTTAACTAATTAGAAGGGTCCCCATCTGGTAGCTGAACTTCTTGTTTATGCTTCCTTTGTGTTCTTAGCACAGAGATTCGAACCAGAACTTCTGTGGTTTGCAGCGGAGGAGTCCCTGTCTGGCTAGATTTCTAGCTATTGTCCTGTGGAGCTGGACTTGGCCAGATGGAAGTGTTCTGTGTTTTATAGCCCCTTCCCCATGTTCCCCTTGGGATGACTCATCTTTGCCACGGGAATTTCCATTGTCTCTCAAAACACTCTTTCATTCTTTTTCATTTCTGCAGGCCTAGATCTAGGACTGTAAATAGTTTATTGAGAAGCAAAAGCTTCCCCAAAGAATCCAAAATTGGG